AGGGCCAACTCAATGGCAACCAACAACTAAACAGCAAGATCATGTGACACTGGGGACTCAGGGATATGCTCAAGCTGTCTTCAGATTTCTAGCCATCCCTTCATTCCTCTCACATGGAGACCTAAATGAAAAATAGCCCCCTTTTATCATCATCTTCATTCTCCCATTACATTTCCTCTCATCAGTCAGAATTCACAGGAATAGAATTAGCTCATTTGAACACAACCTCCTTTTCCTTTCTTCCTTCCCCTTCCTAATCCTGGGAAAGTTCTCAGAGAGTAGAGGGGCCCAGAGGACAAGGACAAAAGGAAAGCAAGAGAGCCTGGAGAATCTATCACAGCCTCACTAGCAGCTGGTGGGGAAATCCGGCCTGTCTGGAGACGTCCCAGACTCTGGAAATGGAAGACTCATTTTCACTCCTGGAAATCTGGCCATTCATAGTGCATTCTCTTGGCCCCACAGGAGTCTTTGCAAACTGAAATATTCTGTAGCTTTCACTCTGGATATTATATTATACAGCACATCCCTTCTGACAATGATGATCAGCAATGAAGCAACACCCCTGGAGTTGGAGACATGAATGATCACTTAACTTATTGGGTGTAACCTTCACCATGGCTTGCCTGAAGGAAATGAAATACACTCCTACTGCATCCGTTATCTCCAGTGGAGTCTTAAGTCTCAAAATTCTTTCACAGGGAATGCACTTAGAGCTTACTACATCTCAGGGGGGGAGTAAGTTGGCTTCCTTCTACTAGGAAGCAAAAAGTGTGACAGAGATGCTATGTCATGTAGTGTTAAGAATATGGGCTTCAAATCCTAACTGGATACTGTTGTTGTTGTTGTTATTTGCCATCGAGTCAGACCCAACTCATAGCGACCCTTCCTTGGGTTTCCAAGGCAGTATCACTACGGAAGTAGATTGCCCCATCTTCCTTCCAATGAGTGGCTGGTGAGTTTGAACCACCAGCCTTCTGGTTAGCATTCAAGTGCCTTAGGCACTATGCTACCAGAGCTCCCAGCTGGATACTAGGTACATGCAATTAAGTTATTTAACTCTTGAGTTTCGTTGTTAAAATGGAGAGACGATCATTTATATCTCTGAGTTGTAAGGAACAGGAACATTCCATGTGCTAACATTTTCAGAGCATCTAGTGTAGTCACCCCTGCCTTCTTTTTTCTTCCCATGTTCAGGTCCAAGGATAGGATTAATTGGGGCCATCCAGGGTAAAGTTTAACAAAGGTAAACTTTTCCTACTTTGCTATTAAGGCTGGGGTAATCCTTTGTTTCAATCCCTCTTGGAGGAGTGAGTAGAAGAAAAGATTCCCTTGCAAGAGGCAGAAAATGAATAGTTGGCGATGTTGTGGGAGCAAACAGGAGAAGGAGAGAAAGCTAAGGAGCAAAGGTCCCTCCCTTACCTGGTCAAACAGCTGCTTGCCGGTGGTGTTGGGCTGAATGGCAAACTCCAGCTCTGCATCCATGGTGGTCACACGCACATTAACCTAGGATGATATCAAAGGAAGTGGGTTAGTCATCTTGTTCTGTGCTCAGCAGAGCCTAAGACAAATGTCTCTGTTCAACCAAAGAGGAGCAACTTAAGCATTGGTGGAGAGGAAAGAGGAATACTAAAACTGACAATAACAAAGTCCTGCTCTCAACTAGTTTATTAAAGACATAAAACATAGCCACAGAGCAATGTTTACCATGGGGCAAACAAATGATTGAAAATCAGCTTACTATCAAGAGAAACAAGTGTTGATTTTACTTCTAGAAAGCCTTCTCTACCTACACCAGCCAAGTTCAGCTCACAGTGATCTTTTCATCTCTAATGTACATCCTGGATTATCCATAATACTAGTCTTTGCAGACAATTTAAACAGGATAAAGAGACTGGAGGAGCTCTGGTAACATAGTGCCTAAGGCACTTGACTGCTAACCAAAAGGCTGGCAGTTCAAATCCTCCAGCCACTCCTCAGAAGGAAGGTTGGACAATCTACTTCCATAGTGATACTACCTCAGAAACCCAAGGAGGGGTCGCTATGAGTCAGGTCCAACTCGATGGCACATAACAACAGACTGAGTTCCAAGTCTAGCACTGCATTGGATCAATCTACAACTTTGGCTACTTCTTGTCTTGTTCCTGGACCTTAGTTCCCTTCATTTGTGCAAAGGTAGGATGGAGGGGGTTAGTCAATAAGACTAGATAATCTCCAAGGACCATTTCAATGCTGATCTCTGTGGTTCTATACTGCTTCACATTGTTAATGCTTCCCATACTTATGTTTCATTGTCTTCACTAGACCCAAGAGAGGAAGGGGACCTCAGCAGGGGTGGATATGACCAGCACAGAGTTGCTACCAAAGCCAAGTCAGCAGAGTGACAATGAGATAGTGGCAGGCCCAGACAAAAATAGCAGGTATCCATATACATGATTTCACAGGTATGAGAAAGAGCCCACCAGCTGCAATGCAGAAGAAAGGCCTGGTGATATGCTTCCATGAAGATTATAGCCAAGAAAACTCTATGGAAGTTCTACACAAGAGGTCACTGTGAGTTGGAATCAACTCAACAGCATTGGGTTTGGGTTTGTTTAGAAAATGTGTCTTCCATCTTTACGAATAGATTGCCTAACCCAGATCAATGATAGCTGAAATTCTATGATTAGACATTTGTTTCTTTTTCTGAAAACTTGGTGGCAATGAAAGCAGTAGAAATCACAACAATAAGCAGCAGTTTTCATGTATTGAGACTTAGTACTCAGTAGGCATTGAACTAGGTGCTTCATATGCATTACTTCATTTAATACTAAGACAGAGCATACTGGCCCTACAAGATAAGCAGACAGCTAAGTGAGCCAACCCCCCTTCCTTTATCCAATTTACTGCAACCTCCCTGGGCTAGCCAAAACCAGCCTGAGTCGGTGTGGTAGTTAAGATTGTATGTCAGCTTGGCCGGGCCTGGTTGAGTAGCTGGGCAGCTGGAGGTAGTTATACCCCATGATAAGACTGGCAATCAACTCCATGACAGAATCTACCACAAGAAGCTTAGTAGCTACTTTAGGGATGTGGTCTGCTTCCTGTATATAAGCAGCAACTTTGGGAATATTGTTGTTGTTGTTACATGCCATTCAGTCATCTCCGACTCATAGCAACCCTATGCACTCAAACTCTACTCACTGCCGTCGAGTCGGATCCAACTCATAGCAACCCCTCCTTAGGTTTCTGAGGCAGTATCACTATGGATGTAGATTGCCCAACCTTCCTTCCAAGGAGTGACTGGTGGGTTTGAACCACCAGCCTTCTGGTTAG